CGAATCCTCAGTTCCATAGCCATCAGATGAGGATACATAACAGTACTTATGTCTGCTGTCAAGATTAAATGAGTTAACATATGGCAAAGCTCCCAACAAATACTTACGGCAGGAGGCCAGATGTGTGCCAGGCACGGTTTCAGGGGAGTCAGTGGTGAACAAGGTGAGTCGTTTTCCCCACGGAGCTCCTGTTCCAGGGGCATGGTCCTTGGCATATACCTTATTTTTATTTAAAAAAATATATTTTATTGATTTTTTACAGAGAGGAAGGGAGAGGGATAGAGAGTTAGAAACATCGATGAGAGAGAAACATCTACCAGCTGCCTCTTGCACACTCCCTACTGGGAATGTGCCCTCAACCAAGGTACATGCCCTTGACTGGAATCGAACCTGAGACCCTTGAGTCTGCAGACCGATTATCCACTGAGCCAAACCGGTTAGGGCAATTGGCATATGCCTCAGGTGCTTAATGAAAGCTAGCAGGGCTCTCTTTCGCGTAACAAACATTTGTACTGTGTAGGCCACAAAGTGCATTCACGTCCAATGTATGTTTAGGCTTCCCATCACCTTAATTTACTTTATTTTTTATTTATCACTTTGAGAGAAAGAGACAGAGATGTTGATTTGTTTTTCCAATTACTTATGCATTCATTGGTTGATTTTTGTATGTGCCATGACTGGGGATCAAACCCACAACCTTGGAGTACAGGGACAACACTAACCAACTGAGCTACCTGGCCAGGGCCCCTAACCATAATGTTATGGGATGGGTATTGAATTGGGAAAATGGAGGTCTAATGTCAGGGGAGTGACTTGCCCTTAAATCAGGCAGCTAGTCAATGGCACAGGTTCCTGCTTCCAGATCTGGCTGACTATAGAGGCTTCTAACTATTGATGCAGAAGATGGAAGGTGTGTGTGTGTGTGCACGCACTTGTGCATGCGTGCACAGTGGGAGTGAGTTGAACTAGGAATATGTCCCGCCTCAGTGTTCACCGGGAGTCAAATCAGATGCTGTGGAGGACAGAGCATCTCTCCTGAGGCACATGCAGGCTCTCCCCTACCTCCTGGTCAACCCTAGGGTGCCTCATCCACTGTTCAACTGGGAGCTCAGCACATGGTTGGTGAATGAATGAATGATATGTGAGTGACACTCTCCCTCCCTCTCCACTCCTGGCTTGCTCCTTTTCCCAGAGGCCTGCTCCAAGCCAAGCTTCACTTGGCCTCCTTGGCAAGATCCGGCAGGAGAGGGGTAAAGGCTGAGTCGCCTTCCAGAAAACAGTTATAATACAATCCCTGGCTGGCTCCAAGGGCCCAGAGTCAGGAAGAAAGTCTGCTTTGCTGTGGGCTGAGGGCCAAGCCTGTTCAGCACTGGGACTGTCAGGGTGGGAACATGGCTGGGGAAGGAGTAGGGGTGCTATGGATTGAGCTGTGTGCCCCAGATTCACATGTTGAAGCCCTAACCCACAGTATGACTGTATTCGGAGATAGGACTTTAAGAGGTAATTAAGGGGCCGAAACCAGTTTGGCTCAGTGGATAGAGCATTGGCCTGTGGACTGAAGGGTCCCGGGTTCAATTCCGGTCGGGGGCATGTACCTTGGTTGCGGGCACATCCCCAGTAGGGGGTGTGCAAAAGGCAACTGATCGATGATTCTTTCTCATCGATGTTTCTAACTCTCTATCCCTCTGTCTTCCTCTCTATAAAAAAATCAATAAAGTATATTAAAAAAAAAAAAAAAGAAGAGGTAATTAAGGGGAACTTGGGTCCTAAGGTGTGTTCCTAATCTGATAGGACTGGTGACTTTACAAGAGAAGGGAGAGATCTCTCTCTCTCTGGGACACACACTGAGGAAATGCTGAGTGAACAGTGAGAAGGTGGCCGTCTACAGAGAGATCTGCAGACTCCTCCTCTTTGTATCAGGTTTGGAAGTGCCCAGATGAGTCCCTGCTATGAAACAAGGCAGACAGTGCAAGGTCTTGGGCCTTTTATTGATAGGTTTGGGACTCCCTGACCCAGCTACAGCTTGTTTGAGAGATTTTACCCTGAGCAAGAAAAGGCCATTCATATGCAAAAGCTGCTGCTTGCAGCTTGGGTGGGATTGTAAATTGGATCAGGAGATGGTCTTAGGGAATCACCAGATGGAGCAAACAGAAATGGCTGCCAGTCAGGTCTGCAACTGGGGAGATCCCAGCATAGGAACAATGATCCCTGCGAGCACCTCTGAGAGAAAGCTGCCCTGGAGTTCCTGCCCTGATGCTAGACAATCCAGTTCCTTCTCGCATGTGTCTGTGTTCCCCAGTGCCTCGCCCTGGTGCTGGAGCTCAGAGGAAGCAGGACCTTGTAAGTTCAGTTCGTGGTGTGGCCTTTTAAGAGAGACAGCTGGGTTTCCAGCAGCCTCTGTGTCACTGAGCCTTAATCTGCACTAGTTTTTACGACTCATAGTTCTTACATAGGGACTTCATTTGACCTGGGTTGGGGGACTGGGGTGGGGCTGGGACTCCTTGCTCTTCTGAGTGGCCTCCACAGGGACGATTTCCCTCCCGATTAAAAAAGTGGCACACGTGGGTGCTGGATCAGCCTGCTCAGGGTCTCCGAGTCTCCTAACAGTCTCAGTGTGCTTCCTTCTTTACTTCTCTAGTTGTAGGACCTCCATTCAGCCAGCTTTCCAGCGGTTCTGGATGATGGTTGTTCTGTATTTTAGTTGTAATTTTGATGTGGTTGTGGGAGGCAGTGATACCGGCATTTACATACCGGCATTTACATACCGGCATTTACCTACGCTGCCATCTTCCACTCAGTACCCGGGGCTCTTGATGAGGCAGCTCCTGCCTCTTTCTTCTGAATCCTTTGGGTACCACGTACTTTAGCTCCACGAAACGTGATACCCTTTCATACCCGTGGGCTCCACACACAAGTCCATCTACCTGCTTGTTGAGAGTGCTGAGCCGGTAGAGTGGGCTCAGATTTGGAATCCTCTTTCTCTGCCATTTCCTAGCCAGGTGAATGTGGGCAAGTTAGCCCTAGGAACCTGTTTTCTAATCTGTAAAATGGAATTAAGCATATGTGATGTGTCTCACATTGTACTTAGTACACAGGACCCATCCCAACCCCACCCAATAAAAGTTGATTTTTTTCCTCCTTTGCATGCTAAACTCCTAGTCATCCTTAAAGACCCAACTGAAATGTTGTCTGTTTGGTAACACGGCCCTCATTCTTTTTAAATGGGTAAAGTCTGTTTTCCATGTTTTTACCCTTTTGGCCCCGGCACCCAGGGGAAATCCCAGCTCTGTCCTCTTGGCGGAGTGACAGCAAAGGGGTCATGAAGAACAGATGTGTGTTGGGCATGTGCAGGACATGACATGGTTTATGAGGTGGGTGCTGGCGGAGACTGTACTGATGAGGTCAGGGGTGTGGGAGGGAGTGTGGCACAGCTGGCACCTGCCAGCTCAGGCTCCCTTCTCTGTTCCCATCTTTGGGGGAACAGTCCTGAATGCCCCAGAACCAACTGTTGTGCAAAAACAGACTTTATTTTATTTTCAGTGATGGGAGCTACATAGGCACCCATGGGTATATGGAGGGCTCTCTGCCAGCCCTCAGGCTTTGACCTTGAGAACTTGAGCACTGTGACCTTGAGAACCTTGTCTTGCATCCTGCGGTCTCCGGGGGTGGGGCAGTGCCCGACCACAGGCTGGGTGGGCTGGTCTCAGCCGGTTCCACCAGCCCAGGGCCGCTTCAGTCCAGTTTGGTTTCTTGGGTTGAAACCATAATCCTTCAGGCCCAACTTTGGCCAAAGATAATGATGCTCTGGCAAGATCCGCAGCTGGGAGGGGGCAGGTACTCGTTTCTCATAGAGCAAAAGGGGGCTTCTCTGAGCCTCCCTTTCCATCCTCATGGCGTGGTTTCCGTAGGACCCCAGGCCTGCTAGAAAAACTATCCCAGCTTCTGGAGAATTTGGTGGGAAGGGGGTTGGGATTGAGTGGGAAAGACTTCCCACTTTCTCCAAGCCTCTTGGAGTGGCTGCCTGTTTGCATTCCTGACTCTCTGCTGCCTCCTTGTGGCTGTAGGCCTAGCTGACGCCACAGCACTATAGAGGGTGTGTGTGTGTGTGTGTGTGTGTGTGTGTGTGTGTGTGTTTGGAGGCAGAGGTCTCAGAAAGAGTGGAGCTGACCCTTGTGTCTGCCTTGGAGAGCAGGGACCTCGCTGTGCCCACGACAGGTGTTGGTTACACAAGCAACACCAGGGCAGCTGTGACACCAGGGAGAGGGCACTTGTTTACCAAAAATTAAAAGAAAAGAAGGGGCTTTGACATTCATTGGCCTTGGAGGGGATTAGACATCAAGAATGTGAGGAGGGCTGGGTCAGCTCTGCCCATAGGGGTAAGTTTTTGCTAAGCTGCTCTACCAGCCGTGGCCACAGCCTGGAGAATCTTGGGAACAGCTGCCCGACAAGCCATTAGGGAAATGGGGGAAGGAACAGCTATGGAGGGAAAGAGAGTCAGTCCATTGCTCCTTTGGCCCTGAATCCTTGCATCCATCTGCTCCCAGCCCAGCCCTCGCCAGGGCCCCTTGGTCTGACCCAGCACCTGTTGTTTGCCATGAAACAGGGGCACGGATCTCCAACTCAGGCTGCTGTGTCAGTAGCATCCTGGCTGATGAAGTCAGTGTTCTCCGAGGTTGTTTTCAGGTGGGGGTCCCCAGAGGAGGGTGTGCTTCAGGATCACAGGGAGCTTGTCCGGATCTCCCCAAAGTCTGAGAAGAACAGCTGATCCTGTCTATTGGCCTCCTTTCATGGATGAGGAAACTGAGGCCTGGGCAGGGAGGGTCTGGATGAAGGTCAGTGATGAAGGTCATAGTGGGTTTAAGGGTTTCAACGTGGTATCATTCTCCTTCAGTTCAGTGCATTGGTCCATCAGTGTGGCTACAGCTGCTTGTTCAGGGGGAGGAGGGGATGTCTGAGCAATTCCCTTGGGATATCTGGGAGCACGTGCAGGGGGAGCCCCCCTACATCCTTTCCGTGTCCTGCAGCAGAGCCCCCACCAGGCTGATGACCTGGGAGGCTGGCTGGACCGTGTCGTACTCCGCAAAGAGGTGGCACACGTTCTCCTGGGCGTTGGTCTGGCTCTTGGCCACAAACCCAAAGATCCTGGTGGGAAAGGGCAGCCTGAGTGAGGAAGGGGTTCCAGGGGTGCACCAGGGGGGAACTCGGCCCACAGTGCTCCACCCTGCCCCTTCCCTAGCCAAGTGGCCCCAGCACCTCACTCCAATGGGAGCTCTCGGGGAAGGGTAGGAGGGTCTCCCCTGCCGGACTGGGAGATCCCTGCCTTCAAGATCTGGGTTTTCCTCACTTTGAAATGGGGCTTCCTGGGCACAGACGGGACCTGTGTGTTACCCAGCAGTATGGGGAGAGCAAGGATGTGTTTTGGCCACCAGACAGGAGCCTCCCTACAGATGAAGGGTCCCTGAAGTCAGAGCTGCGCCGCCCCCACCAAAATCATGGGCCCCTAAGGGAAGGCGTGGCCTCCCTCCCCATGTCCGGTTGGGGGGCCCTGACTCAGGGAGACTGACAGAGCAGACAGGAAGGTCTTACCAGGAGGGCTTGCAGTACTTCTGCCACCTGTGGGAGGGAACGTGGACAGTAGTGAGTACTAAGGCATTGCTTCATGCCGTGGACTCCAGCTGAGCAGGGGGAGAACGGCCAGCTGTGTCCCCACCCCCACCATACCTCGCCTTCCCCTCCTCCTGTCACTCCCGGCCCCTGAGGTTCACGGGCTCTGTCTGGGATCCCAATCTAGAGCCAGACAGAAGCTTCAGTGGGCACCGAGGCCCTGTCCAGCCTTCTCCATGGGGTCCAACCTTGAACTTACTTCCGTTGCTCGGGGTCCATGCCACAGAAGCGGAGGGTGCTGAGGGGGTAATGGCGCCGGAAAAACACCCTGGGAGGAAGGAGGCAGGAGAGAAGGGGAACTGGTGAGAGCCCATCCAGGGTGTTCTAGCCCCTTTCTGCTTCCCCACTCATTATATCTGAGGATGGGAATTACGTGTTTGTCGTAAATCCCTGAGCCCAGGGAAGGCGGGACCGCATCCCCCCGGGTCCCAGTGTCTGGCGGACGCTCTATCCGTGGGGACAGACTTAGTCGATGACCAGTGAATGCCCGTTGATCCCATCTGCATCGGCCACAGTGAAAGGACACTTGGGTGGCAGGAGGTCATGGGCGGGAGGCTCAGCGAAGGCAGAGGACTTGCCTGGAGTCACTCAGCACGTCCCGGACCCCGCTGCGTCCCGGACCCTGAACTCTGCCTTCTTCGCTGATCCATAACCCCCTTGGCCATCCCCTCCCGCTCACCCTGCCCAGCCCTGCCACCCCGGGGGAAGGGAAGTCCCTTACTTCCTCTGGACGTCGGTCAGGGTGATGCCCTGCTCCGTGACCTTGAAGTGGACCACGGTGGGCGTGGGGAGGACGTCCCTCTCCAGGATGGCGGAGATGGCCTTCTGCACCGCCAGGGCTCCGGTCAGCGTCTCCACGCTCACAGAGCTCAGGTACAGAACGTGGCAGCCTGTGGGATGCACACACTGCACTGGGGCCCTGCCAGGGTCCATGGGGTGGGCGAGGCCACCCAGGCCCTGGTCCTTCCTCTGCCCAGAGCCAGGGGACAGACAGGGTCTTTCGTCTTTGGAAACCCAGGAGGCCTCCTCTGTGAGCCCCAGGCAGAAGGACAGAGACCCTGTGGGTGACTGTGATTGGCGGCCAACCCCAGAGAACTCTGGGATCATTCGTGGCTCAGCACTGCCTTCCAGAGTAGGGGGTGGGGAAGGGGGGGAATGTTGCCCTGTGCATAGGGACGTCCAGGCAAACCTTCCTTCTGTCCTGGCCCATGGCTGGGGCCGCTTCCTCCCCCACCTGCCCTTGGAACCCCGGTTCATTGTGGAGAGAAGCAAGAGAAGACAGGCATGGGGAGGGGACCTTTGTGCTCAAGGGCACAGAGTAGGAGCTGTCACTTCAGAAGAAATGCAGCGGTGCTGATCTGTGATTGGCCCCCTGGATGTGAGGAGGCGGGACCTTCCCCTGTGGAAACCCCAGGACCCCGCAGAGGATGGCAGACCCAGCAACAAGCTCCAGGGCGGCACTGTGGAGACCCCAGAACGTGTACATGTGCCCAGGAGTGTGGAGGAGGGGGTGCCAGCCTCGCCAGCCCCCTCTTCTCGGGCCCCCTCTTCCCCTTGGCCCCCTCCCTGCAGCCTCTGATCTCCTGGTTTACGGAGAGGGGAAGGAATGTGCCACCTTGTTAAAGATGAAGAAATGCAGCTGTGATGGGAAACACGTGTGGACATGCGTGTGCGTGCGTGCAGGGCTGGGAGGCGCCCTCCGGGGGTACAGCCAAGCCTGGAGCCTCCCACACACCGCTTACCCGCAGATCGCTTCAGGCTGGAGGCCCTGCCGTCTGCGGCAGGGTCTGAGGCTCCATCTCCGCCTCCCAGTTCTGAGCCAAAGTAAAGGAACAGGCCCCGAGGGGCCGGGGCAGAGTGAATGGACCCCTCTCAGAAGAGCAGGCCTCATTAATCCCTTTGAACACGCTCCCCACCCCCACCCACGCCTCCAGGAAGTGACTGGATCAGAAACCAGGTGTGATTACTGTAATCAGGCAAACGGGGCCTCTCTGGGCTCCCCAGCCAGCCCAGCTTGCAAGCCCTTTGATCCTCCTTCCCCTCCTCACTCCTCACTCCTGGACAGCTTCAGGGACCCGGTCCCCGGAGGCCCCCCGACGCGCTCACTTCTTTCCGGGCCACACCGACCCCAGCCTTGCTTTGCTGAAAGTAGGGAGACTGTCGCCCTCCCTCCACCAGAGGCTCCCCCCTCTTGCTTCCTCTCCCAGAAGCCCCCTTGCTGCTCCCCCTGCACACCCGAGAGGGGATGGCCCGCTCCATCTGGGGGGGGCAGCTGGGCTCTAGACTCTGGAGGGGGCTTCCTGGTCTGGGCGTGATGTCCGACTGTGTGCCTTTGAGTGGGCTACTGAACGCTTTTCTTATCTGTGAAATGGGGATGACGGCAATGTCTACTGCACGGGCTGCAGGGAGCTACGGATGAATGAGGGAGTCAGGGGTCCTCTCTCAATCAATGTTAGACTGGGAAGAAAACAATAACCGCCAAATCTCCCCAAACCGGCCGATAGTATGCCCCTTCCATCCTCTCAAAGAAAGCCACTCTCTCTCAAACATCCACTCGGTGCCGGGTATCGTACTAAGAGCCTGGCCAGAGCGATCTTTTATCCTCACACCGGTCCAACAAGTAGGTATGATGACGGCTGTCCCCATTTCACAGATGAGAAGACCGAAGCTCAGAGAGAGACACATTGTCACAGCCAGGAAGTGGAGATGTTGACGGGCCATGGAGCATGCACCATGAACCGTGACACCAACATCATCCACATCCGAGGAGAGACGGGGGCCCCCAGGAGCCTTTCCAGTGAGAACAAAGAGAGCCAGCACCCCACTCGGCCTCCGCGGGGCCCACACCTACCTTTGTGCGGGATGACGAGCCTGCAGGGCAGGGCCAGGGGCATGATGGAGTGCTGGCACACGAAGGCGGAGAGGCTCCCTGTGAGGAAACAGGAGGCCGTGGGTGAGAAGTCCCCCCACCCCCTCCTGGCCCGGATGGTCAGTCCCACCCCGGGGCCTGCTGCTCACCAAAGTAGGGCTCCTCGTCTGCCCCTTTGAGATGCACCCCTTTGGCGGACGACTCGATGAGGAAGTGGCGGACGAGGTCACTGCCGTCCTCTCCTGGACAGAGAGGGGAGAGCGCGTGTCGGTGGGGGAGGGACCGGAGCCCGGGGTTAGCCCTCCGGACCCGCCTGCTCCGGGCCCATCCTGGGGTTCATCCCCATCCTCCAGCCTCTGGGGATCCTGTCTCTGAGGCCTCCCGCAAAGGAGGCGCCAACCCTTCTGCTCAGGGGCTTCCGCATCCGGTCCCCCCAGCGAGCCTCTCTCTGGGTCTGACGAGCTTTCAGGGATGCTTTCCGATGACGGGTTAGGTCAAACCTCTCCCGCCTGGCTTCTCTCCCCATCCTCGCTCCCTCCCAGGCCTTATTATTCTCCACCAGATGGTCCTTGCCCAGCCCTACTGGCCCTGGAGGCTGAGCAATGGGCCCTGTTGGGACTAGAACCCACCTTGCCCCCTGGCCTCCTCTCTCTGGCTCCTGGGCAAGGCTTCCCTGATAACCAACACCCCCGGGGGGGCACTTTCTTTTGTGGTGGGAGAGACACAGGGTAGAGCAATCCCAGTTGGGTTTTCTTCCTTGGTTTTTCACTCATCACTTACTGGTTCTAGGGGATGGGGGTCACCCACTCACTCTTGGTGCCTCAGTTACCTCATCTGTTTGCTCCCCCCTCAGTCTGGAGGCTCCCTGAGGGCCAGGGCTGTGATCATGGGGTTTAGGGAGCGCTGCCACCCTGGTACCTCACCCTGCAGTGGCCTGTGTGTAATCTCCTTTCCCAGGGCGGGACCCTGGTGCCTTCCACAGTGCCCGGGGCGGGTGGGTGCCCGTCGATGTGTGTTGTGTGAGTGAGACCATGGGACAGTGGGCCGTAAGCTGTCACACACACGTGTTACATCAGGTCCCCTCAGGATAAATAAGTGGATCTGAGATGCAGCCTTTGTTGGGTTTCACACTGTCTAGAAGGAGGTGGGTTCCCAGAGGAGAGAGCAGCCAGGAGAGGGCCTGGATTTTCCTCCTCCTTTTCCCGCCAGAAGATGTTGGGGAGGTGGAGGTGGCTCAGGGCGCCGTGAAAGGAGCTGCTCCCACAGCCTTGGGCGCTGGAGGGCAGCTGGAAGGACCGAGGTGGACCCTTGTCCAGGAGTCACCGTAGGCCTTGCCCCAGGACGCCCTCAAGCTAGCCGCCGAGCTGGGACTAGAACCCGCCACACTCCCTCCCCTCGGAGAGGCCCTGGGGGAGGACAGAGACGGTGCGTACCTGATCGGCTCTGGGCAGGTGCGGGGGCCTCCTGCACCTTCAAGGCAAGGCCGAAGGAGCCTCGGAACGAAGAGCTGTCCCTCACCACGAAGGCCCCCGGCGCCGCCTCCTTCAGCAGCTCGATTGCTGGAACAATCCTTGGGTCAGAGACGTTCCCGCCCCACGCGCACAGCCCTGTCCCCTAGCCCCAGAGGGCCATCGGGCAGCAGGTGTGGCAGGATCCCCTTTTGTTCCCAGGAAGTCCTTTCTATGGTCTAACCTCCGCCATGGCTGCTGCAGTCCCTATTTCCTCAGGTCAGGAGGTCTGCAGGACACTGCCCTCCCCTGGACCTGCCACGGGCCCTCCCCTCTGATTCCCCAGCCTCGTCCCCCGAAACACTGTCCCCCTTTACCTTGCTCTCGGGTGATGCTGGGCTTAAACCAGTACTTGGATGTGTCCATCACAAATTTCATGGTGGGCTGCATGTCCCTGGGGGGGCCTGGAGACAGAGAAGGGGAACCTGAAGGCTGGACAGAGGGGAGCTGGGAGACCTGCCCATTGGCCCCATTCAACCCACCCTCTCCCACCCCCAACCCCATTGTGTCTCCAACTGCCTAACGAGGCAAACTTCACAGAAGAACTTTAGGGCGTGGTGCATCTAGGGTTTAGGAGTCTTCCCTTTATCTTTGGTATCAAAAGCAAATAGATAAAAATCTCAATGTAGTGTCTCGCATCTGGTGTTGCCTGCTGGGGACTGAAGTAGGGGATCAATAAGTGAATCTGAGATGCAGCATTGATTTGATTTCGTACTGTCTTCCCCCTCACTCACCGTACAGCCTGCTTAGGGACCTATTCAGTTTGGGAAAGAAAATGGAAGGAAAGGAAAACAGCAGGTCTGGGCAGACCAGCGTGTGCTCAGAACCCAGGAGGTGGATTCCTGACTCTGGCTTGGGACACACGTTTTGCTCCTAAAGCCCAGAGGGAACTGAATGAACTGTAACCCCTCTGAGGCCCGGCCTGTGTGGCTCAGTGATTGAGCGGCGACCTATGAAACAGGAGGTTACGGTTTGATTCCTGGTCAGGGCACAGGCCAGGTTGGGGGGTCAATCCCCAGTGTGGGGTGTGCAAAAGGCAGCTGATAATGATTCTCTCTCATCATTGATGTTTCTAGCTCTCTCTCCCTGTTCCTTCCTCTTTGAAATAAATATATTAACACCCCCCCCCAAAAACAAACAAACAAACAAAAACCCCTCGGAGGGTCTTTTATGCTCCAATAGCCTGTGAAGTTACAGTGGATTTTGTTGTGAGAATATTGCAGACTCTGATAAGATCCCAGGGTATAATTAGGGATATCCTGGGGCATCCCCAGACCGGAGGGGACTATCCACGCTGAGTACATGTGCTCTTTGAGATGCCAAAATGCCCATTTTCTGGGTCCCGAGGGCAGAGAGCCCGTGGTTCTTAAGTTCAGCATCTTGAAAAGTGTGCTGTGGCCTGTTGAGTGTAGCTCACCAAAACGGTACTAAAATCTGCAAGTGATTTGCCCTAGGAAAAAGGTCAGAGCCGACTCAAGGGCGTATGTGCCGCGTAATTTGCTTGCACTGACATGGCTTCCTGAGTGTGGCTGAGCAGCCCACGAGTCAGAATCCATCCCTCACCCCCATTCCTGCTCCCTCCTGTCAGGAGTCACCTTGACACCCATCCTGTGGCGGAGGAAGGGCAGAGAAGCAGGCCTGGGAGGGTGATGGTGAGTGAGGAGGGACAGTGTCCCCGGGGCTGGGCAGGGGCTCTGTTCACGGGAGAGCAGCCCCAGGTGCTGAGGCTCAGCCTGTGTTGGCTGCTCTGGGTTCTGGTTGGCTTCGCTCTCTTGGACGCCTGCAGTCACAGACTCCGGGAAGTGGGGTGTTTGCTGGTTTGTGGTTTTCGCTGTCTGAACGGAATGCATTGTCTCCATTCCCCTGTCCCCCACCCCTCGGTCTGCTCTGCTCGTCACCCACCAACGTCAGTGTTACGACTGACTGACTCTCCCCCTCGTTCTCACACGTTAGTCATGGAGCCTGCTGCTTCCCTATCCCGAGGGTCTCCTGGCTCTGTCCTCTCTCCTCCACCCCCAGCCCCACCCTGGTGCAGGCTCCGTCTCAGCTTGTCTGGATCACTTCACCATAAAAGCCCAAACAGAACCAAACAGAAATGGCTCTCCCTGCCCACGCAGCTGCCAGCGGGATCCATCGACCCGCGCCTCTGACCCCATCACGCTCCTGTTCGGGACCCTCCGATGGTCTCCCGTAGCCTAAAGGGTAAAATCTACTCTTTAGGCCTGGCCAGTGTGGCTCAGTGGTTGAGCATTGACCTGTGACCCAGTAGGTCATGGTTCAATTCCTGATCAGGGCACATGTCCAGGTTTCAGGCTCAGTCCCCAATGTGGGGCATGCAAGAAGCAGCGGATCAATGATTCTCTCTCATCATTGATGTTTCTATGTGTCTCTCCTTCTCCCTTCCTCTCTGAAATCTATAAAAAAAAAATAAATATATATATATATATATATATATATATATTTTTTTTTTTTTAGCTGAAACTGGTTTGGCTCAGTGGATAGAGCGTCAGCCTGCGGACTGAAGGGTCCTGGGTTCAGTTCCGGTCAGGGGCATGTACCTTGGTTGCGGACACATCCCCAGTATGGGGTGTGCAAGAGGCAGCTGATCGATGGTTCTCTCATCGATGTTTCTAATTCTTTATCCCTCTCTCTTCCTCTCTGTAAAAAATCAATAAAATATATTTTAAAAAATAAATATATATTTTAAAAAATCGACTCTTAAGTTTGGTGTTCAAGGCCTTTTGCAATCTGGCCCCAAATTACTCTCAGTGGCCTCACCCTGCACCCCGAATCCGAGTCACTTCCTTCCAGTGCTCGAGGCATTGGCTTACCACGTACCGTGGGGGGATGCGGTGGGAGAGGCCTCTGGCAGGGTCTGGCTGTGGCTCCTGGTGGCCGGACAGGGGCTGCTGGCAGAAGCAGCCCCAGGTCGCACCAAGTCCTGGGGTCCTGGGATCCGCTGGGGCGGGGAGGACCCTGGTTCCGGGCAGCCGTTGATCAGCACGATGGGTATGTCCACCATGGAGTTGGCAATGGAGGGGGGGCAGCTGCTGGCATGCTCCTTGGCCAGGGGCGGGGAGCAGGCTGCTCGGGGCTGGGCCCTGCTTGGGGTGGTGCTGCCAGGGATCCGGTAGTCACCGGCTCTCGTGCACGGGGATGCTGGGCCGAGGCTGTGGAGGCTGGAGGAGGAGCTGGCTGGGCTTTCCAAGGACTGAGAAGAGGACTGTGGGCTGGAGATGCTGGAGCGGAGGAGGGACTGACTGCTGCAGGGAGAGAGCACCAGGTGGGCAGAGGGTGAGGGCAGAGAGGTGGACACGCGGGGGCCAGAGCCAGGCCCTGTCATTTAGTGACCTGGGTGCCTACGGCTTTGGTCAAATAAAATACTATAGACTCCACTCCCGCCAGCCCAGAGCAAAAGGCATGCCCACCCCATCCCACGGGGTGCTGAGAGATACAGAAATGTCCCTGCACTGCAGTCTTCGGTCAATTCAAGGAGCCAAGTGAGCTGTCCCTCCACAGGGCATGTGGGCTGGAGCGGTTTCCTCTGCTTTCCCAGCGAGGCAGGTCTGAATTGTCACACCAGCCTCTCCCTCATCCCGTCACCCCCAGGAGCCCTGCACCCAGGCTGGACCTGGACCGGACCCTGTCCGTGCTAATGCAGAGGGATCCCCAGCTGGAGAAGGGGAGGAGGCCAGCGCTGCATCCAGCCAGACCTCTCCCCGAGCTTAGAGGCCGGTGCCAATGGGCATGGCCATGGGATCCCAGTCTCCTTGTCAGGGACTGCCCTGGCACAGTGGCTTTGGAATCTGTGTGAGGGGCAGCGGTCCTGCAGAGAACTGGGTGGTGATGGCATAAAAAAAGCTACTTTTATTTTTGGTGCATGCCCAGATTTTGCTGACAGAGCAGGCTACCTCTCTATGATGGGAGAGTGTGTGTGTGTGTGTGTGTTGTGGAGGCAACATCAGAAGTTATAGTGGGGTCGAAACCGGTTTGCTCAGTGGATAGAGCGTCGGTCTGCGGACTGAAAGGTCCCGGGTTTGATTCCCGTCAAGGGCATGTACATTGGTTGCAGGCACATCCCCAGTAGGGAGTGTGCAGGAGGCAGCTGGTCGATGTTTCTCTCTCATTGATGTTTATAGTTTCCTATCCCTCTCTCTTCCTCTCTGTAAAAAAAAATCAATAAAATATATATTAAAAAAAAAGAAGAAGAAGAAGTGACAGTGGGAATGGCCTACCTTCCGAATACGTAGCTGACGTCAGTCGCTGGGCGGGCTGACACCTCAGGAACCCGGTTGCCTCCGGGTGTGGCTGGGCCTCCTGGGCCCCTCTCCACGCCTGGAGAAGCCATCCCAGGGGAGCCAAAGCCATGGGGGCCCGGGGCCGGGCTCCGCGTGCAGGGGATGGAGATGCTGGGAGAGGGCGGGGGGTGGGAGGACAGAGCCCCGGACGGGGGCGGAGGGCGCTGGTGTCCAACGCCTTGGCTCCCGGAGAAGATGAGGCTTTCGCTGCTGCTTCGCGTCTCCCGGGGGATGTCTCTGGAGAGGAGGAGGCCGCCACTGCGCGGGGAGCCGAAAGACGGGGTGGCAGATGGGCTGGAGCAGCGCTGGGGACCCTCGTGGCACCTCGATCTGGTGGAGGTGACCTCGATGTACTTGATATCTTTAGGGAGAGAAGCAGAGCGCTCACAGGACAGGAACGCTGGGAGGGTCCTGGAGACTGTCTGGCCCCACCTCTTTTCTTTTTAAAAAAAAAAGTATATTTTACTGATTTTTCTCAGAGAGGAAGAGAGAGGGATAGAGTTAGAAACATCGATGAGAGAGAAACATCAATCTGCTGCCTCTTGTACACCCCGCACTGGGGATGTGCCTGCAACCAAGGTACCTGCCCTTGACCAGAATCGAACCTGGGACCCTTCAGTCCACAGACCGATGCTCTTTCCACTGAGCCAAACTGGTTCCGGCGTGGTCCCCCCACACTTTTCTGTCGACGGGGAAACAGGGTCAGGGAGGAGGAGGCACTCATTGGACTCAGAATTAGCATCCGGCTCCATCGCAGGGCCCAGTGCCAACGTCACCCCCTTTGGGGCATCTTGCCCTGGGTGGGAGATGCAGGGAATAAGCAGGCCTCAGAGGCAGACAGACCTGGGTTTCGGATGTGGCTCTGCGGCCTGCTATCCGAGAGGGCTTGGCCAGCGGCCTCGCCTGGAGAGGCTCAGTTTCCACACCTGGAAAATGGGGGTGGCCGTGCCCAGCCCCCAGCTGTTACAGTGAGGATCAAATGAGAGGAATGTAGGGGCCCAGCACCGAGTCTGGCACATAGGAAGCCCTTTTATTATTTTTTTTTTAATTATTATTTTTAAAAAATACATTTTATTGATTTTTTACAGAGAGGAAGAGAGAGGGACAGAGAGTTAGAAACTTTGATGAGAGAGAATCATTGGTCAGCTGCCTCTTGCACACCCCCTACTGGGGATGTGCCCGCAACCAAGGTACATGCCCTTGACTGGAATCGAACCTGGGACCTCTCAGTCCGTAGGCCGACGCTCTAACCACTGAGCCAAACCGGTTTCGGCCAGAAGCCCTTTTAAACGGACACATGGGAAGCTTTGGTGTATGCCCCGCACTCTAGGCTGAAATGACCGCTTACCCGAGTGTGCCAGTCCCCTCGCCTGAAGCCTCTCTTCCTCAGGCGTGTGAGAGCTTTCTGCCTCCGGCCAAGGCTCGGTGGCCGCCTAGGGCCACCCGGTGAGCAGTGGAATCCTAATGCCCAGGCTCCACTCCCGCACCCATGGGACCAGCACCTCCCGGGTGGGCTCAGGCCTCAGGCTGGTGGTGCCCCGGGTGATCCCAGCGCGCATGGGGCATCATCACTGTTTCCGGCCAGCAGCACACCGCCCTGGGAGCGGGTCTGATGAACGGAACCTCAGGCTCCACCCCAGGCCTACCGGACCTGAACCTGCCATTTCAGCAAGAACCTCGGGGTCTGATCCACCTTCAAGTTTGGGAGCTTATCTTTGGAGCAGGAGCTGCTGAGGGCAGGGGTTGTGGCATTGCTGAGTGTGGAGCTCCTCAGCCGGGGCCACCCTGGTGGCCGGGGCACCGTGATTGGTTGTCACGTGGCCCAGGCTGCTGACTCTGCAAAGGTCTCTCCATTCCCCAGTGGGGGCCCCCAAGACCCTTGTCCCCAGACCATGTTGCTCCCTGAAGTAGGGTGCCCTGTGGTTCTCCCCCTGGTGAGGGTGGACACCCAGCAAGGGTGGTGGAAGGTGGGGGTCCCCCAGCCGCTGGGTTCTGGAGGGCTGTCCTACCCCTGCCTCCCCAGCCTGGAAACTGGGACAGAGTCAGCGGGAAATTGCGCCCTCTGCTCCTGTCTTCTGGCCTCCCGCCCTCTGGGGTCCTGGCACCCGCGCCTTGTGGACTGTGACTACGGCGCCCTGGCCTGCCCCGACCCGCTCTGGGGCAGGGCTTCTGGCTCTGCTCCTCGCCACGGCCTCTGTCTGAGCCTGCTCGGGCCAGGGTTGGGGTGCAGGATTGCATCAGTGAGGGGCTGGCAGGCTGACCCGGGCTCGCTGTTCCAGGGGTGGAGGCACAGGCCTGGCTTTGTCATCGGACAAACCTGGGCATGAGTCCTGGCGTCGCCACTTTCCCTCCAAGAGGCACTGGGTAACTTTCCTAGCCATGCGGAACCTCGGTTTCCTCTTCTGCAGAGCAGGGGATCTAACACCAGCCTCCCCCGGGGGGGGAGGGGCGAGGATAAAACATGAGTGAAGGGAGCCCCGAGTCTGGCCCAAGGTGGGCTTCGGAGAACATCTCCCCCCTGCCTGCTTTTGAGGGGCAGATGGCTCATTCTCGCTGGCTAAGGGGTGGGTCCCCCTGTGGAGGGCCATAGGACACTATCTGGCACAATGTACTGTGGGCTCTGAAAGCAGTGAGGTCTTGGGATGGGGTGGATTCTTCTGGAAGCCTGGCAAGCACAGCTTGTATTTTTATAGGACTTCAGAGTGTTGACACCCATCATCCTTTCTAGCTTCACAACCGCTGTTAATGCCCAATGTCAGAAGAATCTGCTTTTAAAGAGGAGGAAGCTGAGGCTCAGAGAAAGGTGGGAGTGGAGCTGACATGTATGGCACCATTTTTAGAAAAGGCGGGTATTTATTAAGTGTTTTGGGCCAGCACAGTTACCTGTATTAGTCTATTCAGCCCTCGCGATAACTCTGTTGCAGTAGGAAGTATTATTAATTCCATAGAACAGATGAGAAATCAAGGCTCAGAGAGGGTGAGTTAGTTATCCAACGCCACACAGCCAGGGAGTAGAGGGACCCTCCCTCCTGCTCCTTGGCTCTGATTGGGGGCCTTTTCTGGGAGGAGAGGTTCCTTGGAAAGGTGCTTGGCTGCTTTGGGGAGGGCCTGCTGGTCAGGGGAAGCTGTGGGCCCCTTCCTTACTGGGACCCCCAAACCCTTGCGAAAGGCCGTGCTGGCGGGTGGAGCAAGCACGGGGAGAGTGCAGGAGGAGCCTGCAGCCTGAGTCACCTCCTGCTGCCCTGAGGTGCATGTGGCTGCCCCCACCCATCACCGGGTGCAGTCACTGTTTACAGCCCATGGGGCAAGTCTGAGCAGGGCTCCGTGGGTGCACTGGGTGGGTGGGTGGGTGGGGCCACGTGGTTGGGGAGAGGAGAGCCAATTATTAGACACTTTCCACTTGGGGTTGGCCAACAGCCCTGCTTGGCAGAAATTGCTGGAAAATGAAATGTGGGGGAATCTGTTCCAAAGATGGGGAGGGGTGGCAGAGAGGGTAAAGGAAGGAATGTATATGGTGGTGGCTTCTAGGAGCCACATCCTCTGTGCGATGGAACCTGTCCCTCCGCCCCCCCCTCCCCCCAGGGTAAGCCTGAAGGAAGGTAAGCAAGAGGCTGGGGCAGGGAAGCTGGGGGAGGTTTGGAGCTCTGGGGAGGTGCCCCCCCCCCCCCCGCCCCCGTGCCTCCAAAGGGATTTATTCTGGGCAGCCCTGGAGGGTGGGAAACTAGCTCCAAGGAAGAGAGAAAGGCAAGGACAAGACCTTGAAGCCCAGAAGCCTGGGCTTTTAGGACTGACCTACAGCATCACTAGCAGCGTGACCATGGGTCATTGCTGCCCCTCAGCGTTCTCAGCTGTAAAATGAGGTTATCACTCTTTCCTTTGCAGGGTAGATGCTGGGATCATGCATTACCCAAACCTTCTGCATACACAGGGTGGGCAAAAATAGCTTGATAGTTGTTTGAATGGAAAACAATACAATAATTCTATATAATAAAGAGCTAATATGCTAATTAGACCAAACAGCAGAACCACCGTGCTGACATCCTTCTGGACGAAGCTCGGAATGCGAGGGCTGAGCCCCTTGCATAAATTCTGTGCATCAGGCCTCTAGTTAAATAATAATACAAGAGTAAACTGTGTGCTGAAACTGGTTTGGTTCAGAGGATAGAGCGTTGGCCTGCAGACTGAAAGGTCCCAGGTTTGATTCTAGTCAAGGGCATGTACCTTGGTTGTGGGCACATCTCTGGTAGGGGGTGTGCAGGAGGCAGCTTATCAATGTTTCTCTCTCATCGTTTCTAGCTTTCTATCCCTCTCCCTTCCTCTCTGTAAAAAAGAACAAACAATAATAATAATAATAAATAATAATAAAGAGTAAACTGTGTTTCATGTGCTCACAACTGTAACCCTACTTTTGCCCCAGCCTGTATTTAGGGGAGGGATCACAATGTTTCATTTTAATTTTTTTTTTTCAGTGAGGAAGGGGTCGGAGAGAGAGAGAGATAGAAACATCAATGATGAGGGAGAATCATTGATTGGCTGCCTCCTGCACACCCCACAACCCGGGCATGTGCCCTGACCTATATACCGTGATCTCCTGGTTCATAGGTTGATGCTCAACCACTGATCCATGCCGGCCAGGCCCCATGTTTAATTTTCCATTTTGCCAAATTAGGAAAGAGAAGCAGTGAACATCTGCTGGCACTGCAGTTTTAGGATGTCTTCCCTTCAGTACCCCGAAAGCTGGAAGGATGAGCCCAGAGGAAAGGGGGTCCCCTGCATGGTATCCCTGGTGCCCAGAACTAGTACACTGTCCCGGGACGGAGTGTGTGTGGGGGGGGTTAGGGGGGGAGAAAGCTGGCTCTGGCCCCAGGAGTGGTGGTCTGAGGGGAAGGATTCGGAGATCAAGATGCAGGAGGAATTGCAGCTCAGCAGTGATCGCACAGCGGAACCTTCTGACCGGGAGCTGACCGGGCTGGGCCCAATCAGGAGGTCATGAGCGCCAACATTGCAGCTATCCAAGTGCAGGTTGGAGGAGAGGATTTAAAAACCAAAATGCCGCCGAAACTGGTTTGGCTCAGTGGATAGAGCGTCGGCCTGTGGACTGTAAGGTCCCAGGTTCGATTCCAGTCAAGGGCATGTACTGTGGTTGTGGCACATCCCCAGTAGGGGGTGTGCAGGAGGCAGCTGATCGAAGTTTCTCTCTCATCAATGTTTCTCTCTATCCCTCTCCCATACTCTTTGTAAAAGAAATCAATAAAATATATTTTTAAAAAATGCCATCCGAAGGGGCTGGGACAGAGCTAGGCAGCTCGTTTAGGACTGCCTGATCACTGCTGCCTTCCTAGTGCCTGAGTTCTGTGGACACATCTCAGCATGGCAGGCCGTGCCCAGGGCATCTGAGAGTGCAGACTACTCACTGCTCATCGCCCCAGGAGGAAGAGCCTGGTCGTCAACACCCGCATCACATGCCTGGGGCCGCTCCCCAGGGATTGTCTCCCCCCGCACGGGCCTTGAGTGTGTGGAACCCCTGCCTTGGGGCATGAACGTGGAAGCCCAGGGCTCGCTCCTGCCAACAGCAATTAGGCCTAAACCACCCTCCTGCAGGGGCATGCCCGGCACTGGCCTTAGGAAGCAGGGACGCTCCTGAGGGCTGGAGGCAGTGCTTTTAAGAGGCCTGGCAGGCAGTGTGGTGGGTGGGAGGGAGAGAAGGCGGGTCAGGATCCCGGGCGCCGGAGGACCTGGGTGCTGGGCTCTCACTTTCACCCCAGAGCCTGGTATAATGAGGCAACCGCTGTTCATAATGATTCACAGGGGCTGGGAATGATGATCAACACCCCACCGGTGGTGTTTCTTTCAATCCCTTTGAGGGAAGAACTCACTTATGTTTTACGGACGAGGAAACAGACACGGAGAAGGGGAGTAAACAGCTTGTGTAAGGTTTGCCCGGCCCGGGTGACTAGGCTAGCTCAGCTCCTTATGCAAGCCTATGAGCCTCGGTTTGCTCATCTGTAAAATGAGGCTAACACGGTCATCTCTTGGGGGTCAACGGGGAGGATGAAAGGTTCCACTAGCAAATGCTCAGAACAGTGCCTCGGTAGAGTAAGCGCTCAAGGAGCAGACATTCTCATGGATTCTATCTCTAATCCTAACCACACCCCTTGGCCCACGTTGATGGTTTAAGTCCCTGGGAGCCTCAGTCTTCCAGCCTGTCTAATGGGGCTGCTGCTCCTTGACCTTCACCTTCAGAATACACGGAGAAGTCTGTCTGGGTAACTGGAGCCAGAGGCAGGGACTTCTAGATGCCCGAGGCTCAGGGGTGCACTGGAGGTGGCTTGTACCAGCTCAGGGAAGCTGGTTCTTAGATGTTCAGGATTTTTGTCCAGCTGGTTGCTAAACTCAGGCATTATTAAACATTAAAGTATAGCCCTGACCGGTTTGGCTCAGTGGATAGAGCCTGTGGACTGAGAGGTCCCAGGTTCAATTTCGGTCAAGGGCATGTACATTGGTTGAGGGCACATCCCCAGTAAGGGGTGTGCAGGAGGCAGCTGATTGATGTTTCTCTCTCATCGCTGTTTCTAACTCTCTATTCCTCTCCCTTCCTCTCTGTAAAAAGTAAATAAAATATATTTAAAAAATTAAAGTATATAAAGTTACAATGAAACAACTTATGTGAAAAACAGAAGTGATAAACACTCCAAATTCATCACATCCCAATGATTTCACTATTTTCTTTTCCCTATTATCCAAACTCTTGAGGTTGTTTACATCTGCTGTATTGGTGAGGTGTGAACTCTGTACTGTGCCGTGGCCTGCTGCTGTCTATCTCTTTCTAATGCCACATTCAGTGCCGTCACGTTGGTAGCCTGGGAGTGGGAGAATTGACACCGTGGAAATTGGTACAAGCTTCACATCCGGGCTCTCTCCTGCCCCACCGGGAAGCCGACTGTTAAACATTGAAGCCGGCTGTTAAACATTGACTAGCACCCTACTGCTTAAACACAATGGGGTTACCACCCAACCAGGCTGAACTCCGTGTCTTTCCAGCCCTCCTCCTTCCAGCCTGCGCCTCCCCAGAGTAATACTCCCCTGAACAGGGACAGGGGTTCAAACAGAAATCCTACAAAATGTAAGGGGCCAGGTGAGGACCCCAGGAGAGACACCATAGGGTAGCAAGGCTCAGGGACCCCCACCTGCATCACACATGTAGTTGTAGGAGAAAACGTATCATTAGCTTATTTACATTCTCTGAAAAATCCCACAACACAGGCGTCCATCACTGAGTTTCCAAAGTCAGGAGCCACAAAGAAGGGGAGAGGGAGGGACGCCTGTGTTTTTCCCTGTGGGGTGGCAGAGAAAGCAGAGAAGTTCAGGAAGTCACTAGGGCTGCAGGCTATCTCCCCGCAGGACATGCCTCCTGCTCCTGTGAGTCTACAGGAAGTTCCTTCCGCACCAGGTCCAGTCCCCCCCTCCTGGCGCTGCGCCCCTGGCCCTTACCCAAAGCTTCAGGCTCTTCTTTCTTCCTCTGCGAGGTGGTACTCTGGGCGGGCTCGGCCCATGGGCCGCCAGCCACCGCGGGGAGCAGCTGGAAGGTGGGGTCCAGTTCCAGAATCATCTGGTTGAGGCTCTCCAGGGAGAAGCCGATGCAGGCGTCCAGGTCCTCCAGGGCCCCCGAGGGCTGCTCGCCGGGCCCCCGCAGGAGGCAGCTGGCTTTGGCTCCCGCCTGTGGGGCCTGCGGGAGCCGGCTGGGGGGCTCTTTGCGGGGCATGGGGGCCATCAGGGCCTGGGCCCCCCAGCCTTCGGTGGTGTAGTAGGCACACTGGGGCGGCAGGCTGGGGCTGGGTGCCGGGTGCAGGACCCTCCTGGGCTCCTCACAGGGAGGCAGGCGGACGGCGTGGCCTCCTGCCAGCAGAGGACTGGGCATCACCTGCGACATGGCGGGGGCAGCGACCCGGTGGGGCAGCTCGGGCTTCTCACCAGCCTCACGCAGGTCCCAGAGGTGTCACTCGCCAACCAGGAGCTCCCAGGACCTGAAAGAGGACAGGGTGGCAGCAGAGTGTCTTTTGTAGATGAAGCCCCTGCCTTGTCCCTCCAAAACAAAAGCATATCGCTGAAACCAGTTTGGCTCAGTGGGTAGAGCGTCGGCCTGCGGACTGAAAGGTCCCAAGTTCGATTCCGGTCGGGGGCATGTACCTTGGTTGTGGGCACATCCCCGGTAGGAGGTGGGCAAGAGGCAGCTGGTCGATGATTCTCTCTCATCGATGTTTCTAGCTCTCTATCCCTCTCCCTTCCTCTCTGTAAAAATTTAATAAAAAACAAAACAAAACAAAACAAAAAAACCCCAAAAGCTTATGGATGCATTCATTCCATGGATGCTGGGTTTGCATCCTGGCTCCACCCCCTGGGCAGGTTAATTCACTGCCCTGGGCCTCAGTTTCCTTATTTACAAAATGAGTTCATGTTTGTAACATGCGCCAGAGAGCGCCTGGCACAGACTGAGCAGTGTGCAAGTTATTGTTAAATAAAACAACGTCAATAGAAGTTTATTAAATACCCTCGATGTCCCAGCCTTATTTGTTAAATAAACACTAGCTAATGTTTACCGAACAATTTCTGTGTGTAGAGGCACTGCTGTTTACCCACACAGTCTTTTAAAAATCCTCATAACAGCCTCTGAGGGAACCCTGTAATTACACCACCTTACAATGTGAGAAGGGGATCACGGAGAGGGAAGGAACTTGCTCAGGGGTGCGTGGCCAACAAGTGTCAGAGCCGGACCCCAGGCTGCCTTTGGCTACTTCCCAGGGGCCAGGGTGTGAAACCAAGTGAGCAGGTGAGCAATCGTAAGCAGTGTCACCGGGGAGGCGGGGAAGCAGAGGGGACTCAGTAGGCACGGGTGGGGGAGGTCAGGGAGGACTTCCTGGAGGAAGAAGCATGTAAAGGGAGGCGAGAAGAGAAAGTAGGAGCTAGCTGGCCAGGGAGGCAGGAATGAGGCAGGTGTTTTCAGAAGCCTGAGAGACAGGGGGGATCAGGAGGCATTCTGGAGCACCTGGCAAACAGGGAACTCCCAGGGTAGATGGAGGAAAAGATGGGGTGGGGGTGGATGGAGGGCCAGGTTGGCCAGACCCTGCAGAGCCTTGCAGGCTGGGCTCCATAGTGGTGTCTCAACCCTGAGGGCCAGGGCGGGCTACAGAACCGTTTTGAGCTGAGGAGTGACGTCAGCAGGTGATATTCCCTCCTTGGGGGCCCATCCAGGAAAGAGATGTCTCAGCTTCCTCCGCTCCCTTCCTGTGGAAAGTTCTTCCTGCTGTCTCACCTAATGCCACCTGCTAGTACTTTCCTACGGGTGGGGCTGGGTAGGAGGCCAGGGGTTCTAGGACTGAGGCTGCAAGGAAACCGGAAGCATCTGGGACACGCTGGGCACGCTGCCACTGCATGCCCTGAGCCTCCCCACTTGCCCCCCAATACTCCTCAACTCTGCTCCCTGTTTCTAAGACGCTGCCATCACATCCTGCTGTATATAGAGTCGGTCGCCCAGTGCTGGAAAAGGTAGAGGCCGGCCTGGGCAAATGAGATGAGTACGGACTCCGGAGCCTGAAGATTCAGGTTCGATTCCCAGCTCAAACCGTTCCTTAATGAAGGATTAATTCCTTAATGAAGAATTCCTGCCCTCCCCCCCCCCCCCGACCCCCGCCAGAGAGCCACAAGGAACCAATGGGGTGCTGCTTGTGAAAGCAGCTGGATAACTCTAAATGCTACTTAGAAATGAGGGCTTGTCTAGAGTAGAACAACTTCATAAGAAAAAAATAGAACTCCCATTTAGCGAGCACTCCCCACGTGCCAGGAGCCCATCTATGTGGGTTACACGTGCTCACTCTCAGCTTGCACTCCAAGGAAGTTCTGCACCCCGAGTACCAGCCTGTTTTACAGACGAAGACACGGAGACTCAGAGAGGTGAAAAAAAGTGATAGAGCTGGGATTCAAACCCAGGCCCTGGGGCTTTGGGCTGTAAACTCCTTTAAAAATAAATAAATAAATAAATAAATAAATAAATAAATAAATAATTATATATATATATATATATATATATATATATATATATATATATACAGATAAGAAGGGAGAGAGAGAGAGAGAAACATCGATGAGAGTCATCGACCAGCTGCCTCCTGCACACCCCTTACTGGGAATGTGCCCACAACCAAGGTACATGCCCTGACCGGAATCAAACCTGGGACCCTTCAGTCTGCAGGCTGACGCTCTATTCACTGAGCCAAACCGGTCTTGGCTGGGCTCTTAACTCTTTGTACCACATTGAGTTCACATGCAGAGGGGACCCTGAGGTCCAGAGGGGGATGGGGTTTGCCCAAGTCCCCCAGTAAGGGAAGGAGAAGAGCCAGGCCCCTGCTGGACTTCTCCTGGGCCGGGTCCTAGCTCCGGCAGCGGGTCTACAAATGGCCGTGGACGGGAGCCGGCCTCTGAGCTCCTTCCTGGGGCAGCTGAGGACACGGAGCTGTGGCTTTCCCCTCACGTGCTCCCAGAGCCCGGCTTTGCTGGGGGCAGGAATTTGCGGACCCTGCAGGGTTTCTGTCTGGGCCCCGCAGAGCAGGCTGGGTGCGGACTTTATGGAGGACATGGGGGGCCTGGGTCTCCCCTCAGGATGAGGACCTAGGATGCCTGCCTACTGGTTTGGAAACTGCTTTTATGCCGCCCTGGGCAAGGGTCCTCTCCTCTCTGAACTTCACTGACCCATCTCTATAATGGGGATAATAGAACGACAGATTCGTACGTAAAACTACTCATTTCATTTTCTCAACGGTTCTGTGAGGCTCAGGGATTTGCCTGAGGTCACACAGCCCACAGGGCCCGGGGGTGGAATTGGGTCGAGGCTCTCCCGCCCTGTGCCTCTGCTTCATCTCTTTAGAACCCCTTCCACCTCTCTCCATCTGGGGTTCTAGAACCCGAGGGGCACATCTGGGAGGCCCCTTTTCTCACGCTGAACAGTCCCCGGATCAGCCTGGACCTCCCTGGGCAGGGCCTGGGCTCAGTGTTTCATTCCTGGACATCCTGCCCCCCCCCCCAGTGCACCTGGCTAGCTTTCTTCCTGGCTCGGAGGGGCAGGCCAGGGTCCCTGGGGCTCCGGGCTGTGTGTGTGTGTGTAGGGGGTAGGTGGGGTATAGGGTGGGCAGGGAGGTCTCCAGCCAGATCAATCCTATTTATAGGTCCCTCCCACCCGCTCCCCCTTCAGGTTTGGACTCAGATCTTTTTCTTTGTTCCCCAGAGCTCAGGAGGCGGGGGATCCTGTTCCCTTGGCACATCTCTGCTTCATAGCTAACCTCCCACAGGCCCACTCAGCGAAGGGAGAGGGTAGAAGAGAGTGAACCCTGAGGCTCCCCAAAGCCCCTTGCCTCCATAGTCCAACCCCTACTCACCGCCATCCTGGAAGAGTGGCTTCCAGCTGTCCCATCCTCTCCACCCAGACCCAGGGACTGCGGGATCAGCGAAGGCCCTGGTCCCCCACTTCTGGGTGCCCAGCAGCCTGAGGGGCCCAGCACCGGGGCTCAGGACCAGGCTGGGAGTCAGGAAGCCTGGTCCTGTGCCCGACCCTCCCCCCAGGTCTCCATGACCTTGGGCAAACCCCTTCCCCTCCCTGCACCTCGGTTCTCTCATCGGTCCTCAGAAGGGTGCAGATTTGCTCCCTCAAAGTGTCAAACTCCCTGGTCTGGGGTCCTGGGACCCTGTCTCTCTGGTCCACAGCCTCTTCCCCGTTTCTCCCCTCCTGCGCTCTGAGCCGGGGCCCAGAAGTGGAGAGGCAGAGGACTCGGGGTGAAAGGAGTCGGCTGGGAAGGAGCTGGCCCAGAGCTCCTTGCAGAAGGAAGGCACCTACCTGGGGCCCGGGGCTGGCAGCGGCTGCGTTCACTCCTGGCTCCCGGGATCAGACAGCTCCGAGAGCAGGTGAGGAGTGAGGGAAGGCGCAGTTCACCTCAGACTTAAGAGCACCCAGGATCCTGCCCTCCCTCCTCCCCTCAGGGCCCTACTTGTGGCTGACAGCCGCCAGGCCCCACCCCTCTCCCGTCTGTGGGCTCAGGCCTCAGGTGGGGTTGGCCCCAGCACAGGGAAGGGAGGCATCAGGCGGGGGGCCTGGCCCGGCCTGAGGGGGGCTGGGGCCGGGCTTGTGTGAGGGGCTCCCAGACTCCCTGCTTTCCCGGCCCTCGGCCCCCGCCTTGCCCCCACAGGCATCACATGATCAGGGGAGCCCTGCTTGGCTGGGCAGGGACTTGTTAAGACCAAGGTGCGCTGGCTCTGGGCATTCCTCTGACCACGTGCCAGCCGGGGGCGGGGCCGTGGGCTGGCAGAGCTTGCAGAGAGTGAAGGCCTTGACCTTGGGAAGGCGGGATGGCCCTGGGCAGGAGACCCTTCCCAGAGCAGGGCATCCTGGGCGCACAGGGGCTCCTGGGAATGGAGGCTGCGCACAGGTTCTGTCTTTTCTCCTTTTTCTCTTTGGTCTGGAACGGAGCTTTGAGCTCAGGCTGGAGCTCGGCTGGGGGACCTTCTGGGGGGGGGGGGACTCCCTGCCCAGTCACCACCGCTCCTGTCAATCACGGAGCACAGCCTTCGCTTTCACAATTTCCTAAGGTCTCTCCATCACGGACTCTGTAACTTCCCCTCCATGGACGGCCTGAAACAATCTGTTGAAACTGTGCCATCCCACTCGTCTGAAGTGAGATGCTGTTATAGGTGTGAGATGCACATCAGACTTCAAAAACTTTGTCTGGAAAAAACAGAACGGAAGCGATCCCACTCACTATTTTTTATATTGATTACACGTTGGAATGATAGTGTGATGCTGATATTGGGTTCGATGAACTATAACCCGGGAAGAATCTGGTCCTTGCCTCTCCCCGCTCCCGTGGCCGCCCCAGAATCCCCATCGCC